GGGGGGGGGCACTCGGTGGCAGGGCACATATCGGTGCTTCGTGTGGGTTAGGGGGGGCGGCGGCACCGGCCGCGGGGAGCTTCTGTCTGCACGGGTGGATTTCTGGGAAGTGGTCTCCTACTTGCATACCCACCCGTGCCAGCAGAGGGCGCCTGACTTCGTATCTGCATTGACTGCATGCACGGTCAGCTGTGGCTCATTCCCTCACTCACATATACTGGGGCTGTACCCATACACGGCATGCTGGGTGACGCTGAATGGTCACAGGGTCGGTGTCACTGAAGTTGGTTATCACACTCGCGGGGGAGGAGTGGGTGGGGGCTGCATACAATAAAAACAGAGAAAGAGAAAAAAAAAAAAAAAAAAAGAAAATTTCCAACTGTCATTTCCTCTTTCTAATGAAGACTTAAAGCGTTTCTAAAAATGGAAACGCGGATTTGTTTTCATACCCTCGGAACGAGAAATCCCAATAGCCGTTTCGAGGCGCTTTTCGCAGCTGCAGGTCAGACGTTAAAAATCGGCACATCGTAGAAAAATGTACTTATGTACGCTCGCCGAGAGCGCGCGGTCATTTTTCATTTCCACGAAACTGGAGATAACCTTCATGGACAAAAAAAAGTTCAAAGAGCGTCTCTAGATCGCACATGTGCGGTTAATTGACAAATGGTGGCTTCCTTCTAGGAAAACGGGGATGTGTTCCTGTTGGCGTCTACGGAATGGTTGGTGGCCATCTGTCAGCCTTACAGTGACATCAGAGTCACGGCAGAAAAAAGACCAAGTGGTCCATCGAGTCTGCTCTTTTTTTTTTGTAGGTTTTAAACTTTTTGTGTGGGAGTATAGCTCTAGGTTTGTCCCAAGCATGTTTAAATTCACTTACTGTTGACCCACTTTCTAAGGTTAGTTTTGAACTTCCCTCCTGCAAGTTTGAGGTCATGTTCCTGCGCTCTTGATCTTGGCTTCATATAGAAAATACTGTCCTCCTGAACCATATGCACACCCTCAATGTATTCAAAGAAGAACTGGACAAATAAAGCCCCCCCCATACTGGAAGGGTTAAGTGCTCTTTTACTGGAATAAAGCCGAACCTGATCTGAGCTGTGGTTGGCACTCAACTCTCTCTCCCTCCCTCCAGCTAGGGAACATTTCTCGGCATACTCGCATCTAAT